ATATATATATATATATAAATTTGTGTGTGTGATTGAGTGAGTGTGTGAGTGAGTTAGAGAGTGAATGGTTGTTTGTTTCTATGTGTCTCTGTGATGGACTGGAGACCCCTGTCCAGGGTGTCTCCGCCTCTCGCACAGTGATGGCTGGATATGGGCACCAGTGACCCCCTCGACCCAAAAAGGAAAAAGTGGGTAAAGATAATGGATGTCCTTTATTTGTGTGTGTGATTATAAGTCACTTACTTTGTTAACAGCTGCAGTTTTACATGTGCTTTATAAGTGAAGTTGACTTGACGACTTGACTTACTGGTACTGCTTTAGTTTTCCTTCTGCTTCATCCCACAGTCTGAGTTTCTCCTCAGAGATCACATTTCCCAGCTTCTCCCAATATACTTCATTCTCTGAAGAATCATGGTGGGCTGAGCGCCCCCTTTAAAAAATCAAGAACATGTTGGTATCAAATGTGAAGGACAGAATAAACAGACAGTCATTTTACCTTCTGTGCTTCAGGAAACTTTTCAGAGCAGGCAGCACATGGTTAGGATGGACGAGCTCAGAGGCTGAATTTGTTGTAGCTCTGGTCTCTGCTGCCTCTGCCAAGTCATTGGACGCAGCACAGACATCCTGGAGAAACACAAAACACGTATCAGCAAGGACAATGCTGAAATAGCCCACAGAAGTCTTGGACTCTTTCCTTCTTCACCTTAGTTTGCTCCCTCTGCTGTTGCTCATACTTTAATATGAAATGGGTCAGCTCAGGCAGATCTTTGTCATCGAGTTCCAAAGACTAGAACAGAAAATGGATTAACTGGTTGCTCAAGTTTTGTCCCACTCTCTAGATATAATATTGGGCTTAAACAAGAGCTGAATATGGACTGACGTAAAGGAGGGTAACCAGCTTCATATCAGTTTGTTCCTCATTCTCCAGTGGAGAAAGAAGCTTCAAGACTTTAGTTTCCATCAGGAAGTCCTGAAAGGAAGGAAGGAAATTAGATTTTTATTTTTCCTCAGACGTGTCAGTTAACATTAACATTGAACTTGTGTCTAACCGTTTCATTACACAGCAGCTCCTTGATTTTCTTCTGTGTCTCCCTAAACACATTCTCTTCCTCTGTCTCTGGACCACAGTCACTGTTCCCCACCAGTTCTTGAGGCTGGCTGGGACTGGAGAGGTCCAAAACAGCTGTATGAGGCTGCTCCCAGGATAAACCAAGGAGCCGTTTGCAGATCACAGAGTCAATGAGCAAAGCTCTCTCTGCTAGCTGCTTTACATCTGCATCAATCATTGACCACATCTCCTTAAACTTTCTGGCATCAGCAATTGCAAAGTGCCTGCATGGATTAAAAAAAAAAAACATCTCAGAGATAAGAAGAATACATTATTTGAAACCAAAATGTTGTGACTTACTTGATTTGCATGTTTATGAGTTCATATTTTTGGATCTGACGTTTGTAGTCTTCAGACAAATTATGACTCAGCGTTGTCAGCGCCTGCTGTTCTTTCATGTATGTGCTTTTTAATTTTTGTACAATGCTTTCTTGGCTGAAACATAAAGTTAAAACTGGAAATTGAGTATATATATATGTGTGTAAGATTTTATGAGAAAAAATATTTCCTTACATGAAGCTCCTGCGTTTCATTTCGATCAATGAGAGCTTAAAATCTTCTATCTCAGCTTTTTGGACTTGGTGTTTCACTTTCTCAAGAACAATGGCTTGCTTGATATTCTGATTCTTTCTCACCAGGTCCTACAGAGACAAAAATGGGACATAAGACCTTGTAAAACAGGAGTCAAATTCCAGTTTGAATAGCTTCAGCTTAAGTTACTACAGCTCACGTGGATATTTGGACAAACCTGCGTCTTAGCTATATTTTCCAGCTTCAAGGTTTCGATGCTGTGAACATGCCTCCTCAGCCTGTGAATTTTCTCCTCATATTCCTCCACTTTCCTTCTCCTCTCTGTGAGTATCTTGAGCTGGAAGCAGAGGAGGTGTTACAGGACAAGAGGAGAAACAAACATTTGAAAGACTAAAAGTTGAGTCTGTTCTTTGTGTGGTGTGTGAGAGAGTTTAGTCCTTCCTACTTCTTTCTCGCACAGTTCCTTAAAGTCTTGCTCCCGTTTGTTCGTGTCCTCTGAAAGCAAAAAATCCAGTTCCTGCTGATGAACTCTCTGACAAAAAAAAAAGAAAAAGAAATCAATAAATAACAAGTGCAAGTTATTAGTTGTGTTATTTTTGCATACGAGCATTCAAGTTTAGCAAACTGTAAAGGCTTTCCAAACTTTTAACCAACACTAAAGTGATATTTTAATAATAAAAGCATCAACAAGATTAAAAATAAATAAATCCTGAGTGATTTCTTCCAACATTTGTGGGGATAGCTGTGGCATGGTGGTTAGTTATACAATGAGACCAATTTATCTCAACTCAGATGCCCTCAATGAAATACTTGTTTCTTGACCCAGAACTGGTCCTACCTCGATTTGGGCCAACTCCTCCCTATACGCTTGTGTGAAGATTTTAATTTGGTCCCCCATCCTCTCAATCATTAGGTCTATCTCCTTTGCATTCCTCCTCAAGTCTTTCACGTAGCGATCGTCTCCCAACTTAAGTTCCTGCTCAGCACAACGTAATCAAAAAGTATGAAATCAAGAAAGAAAGATTAATATTATTGATTTTTGTTTTTATCATTTTACATTGCTTTAGATGGTGAGTTTTAAATGAGGCTATATGTCAACTGGATAATTACCAGCTGCAGCTCATTTATGAGCTTTTTCTTCTCTTGTATGACAACAGCACAAAGCTGCTGCTGTTTGTTTAAGGCTTCCTGCAGTTCTGGATGAGTCACCTTCTGACTAAGTATCGAGCATCTGCTTGCAAACTCGTCAAATTTTTCCTGACTTGATTTTACATCATTCTCCAGAAGCTCTGCTCTGTTTTACAAAGACATTTGTAAAATTGATGAACGATGGGAAAGAAATAGGCACTGACAAATTTTGATTAACTGTAGAGAAATATACTTAAGACAATAACTGTAAAATTTAAAAGAATTACCTGATTTCCTTTGCTTTATTCAGCTCCGTCCTTTTCTGCACCACTCTGGCGTCGGCTGCAGTTTGGATATTGGTCACAAAAGCTGTCAGATCACGCTGCAATTTGATCATTCTCTGTGGATCGGGAGATTGAAAGATTAAAAAATGCTAACACGTTAAATAAACATGAAGGTTTATTAACACATGGACAATTTAAGTTAGTTATTTTTGAAAGAACTGGCCCCAACATCTAAAAAATAACAACCAACTTTTCTAAAACATTCATATTCTACTTTAATGTCATAAAAAGAAAAAAATTGCAGAAAATAAAACACAACTGGGATATTATAATTAGTAAAAGAAAGAGGAAAATAAATCAAATATTTTTATACATTTTCTCAACTCAAATAAAATCTTTGCCTTTTGCCTACATTTTTATTGCATTCATTTATTTTACTTTCTTTTTCTATCTGTGTCATTCAGAATATTTATTTTAAATAACAAAACAAATTTTAACCCATGAAAAGAAACAAAAACACCTGAGTTAAAAGTTTGGGGGTGGCCAAACACCCTTCACAGAAAAAAAAAAAAAAAAAAAAAAAAAAAAAAAAATAAATATATATATTTAAATATAGATATATATTTTATTTTTAAAATACGAATTTAAAGAGAAATATTGGTTT